AAGGAACTCTAACATTTTGAATAATTAACTGTATTACAAAGTTAAAAAAAAAACACAAACAGTACCACACACACTCAGATGGCCATCGTATCTATAATGGCTGATGTCAAACAAAAAGGTTTCATCAAGCTGTAAAACTAAAAAGAATGTCTTGAAAATATTACAAAATAAATTATAAGAAAGTGTTTCAAGGGCGCATGACAAATGAAATATATGCCAATAGCTTCCGTTATTTATTTTGGTCTCTCGGCTTTCATGTCTTCAGACTTCTTAAAAACAGCAGGGATAAGCTGTTGAACTGCTGTTGTCTTTTGCCGGGCTCCGGTGATTGGCAAATCTGGGTGATGCCTTCTGATATGATTTAGCATGTAGCACGTGTGTTACCATTAGCATACCGCACCGCTGTCGTCCAATCCACCACTCGCACTCCATCGTTGTTGTAGTCCACTGGGAACCCGAAATGTTCCCACACAGCAAATTTAAACGAAGCAGGTGGGTCTTCTAGCTCCTTTGTGTTATCTGAAATCGCAATACTAACTTTTCTTCTTCTTGTATTTTCTTCGTTTTGTTGTGTTTTCTTCTTGTTCTTAAATGTGTTGTTTAAGGGCGGCTGGCAAACAGCTTTTAGGCGCAATACCGCCCCCTGGATCATATATAGTGTAATGGATACTGCCCTGAGTGACAGACTTTTTTTCCACTCAGAAAAAAAGCCGTAGGCCTATTCTTCGTGTGACTACAGGTGCCGAACCGTGACGTCCGAACCGTGACGGTTCGAACACGGATACCGTTAAACCCCTAATAACTTCTCCGTGTTGCTAGGGCATGAAATATAACGTCTCCAGGAGGAAGGGAGGGGGGGAGAGAGAGTGAGCATCTACCTATCCATCTTCACTTTCTTCAGATATATGACACTGCTTCCATTTCTGTCCACTCCTCTCCACCCTTTTTCTTCTACACATTTCATCAGAAGGGCCATTACTATGTCCTAGAATAGATCATCTGTCTCATAGACCACGTGACCTATTAAGGGATGGACCTCCAGAACATTCTAGTAACTTGCAGCATGGTTTTAGCCTAAAACATGCAGAATCCATTATTTTTCACTCTCAGCCTTTTCACTGGCTATCTTTAGCATCTGAATTTCAGAGTCCTACTCAGGCATACATACAGTGTCCACAGTATCAAGTATCCATTCAAACTTTGCACCCACTCACACACACAGATTTAACATTATATACGAAATAAATAAATAAATCAATGTGGCAGAATCTAATATATTGTATTTTTCATTCCTTGCAATCTCCATTTCAAAATCTCGAGCCTACATTACCCACAATGCAACTCAACGATCAGGTGCTTGTGTAGTCCGAGATGCTTCCCTCAACTAAAGACGAGGAACAGGCTAAAGGGGTTAACTAATGGATTTTTAAAGAACTTTTGATGCAGCATTGGAGGCGGGTCTCTTCCTATGAATATTGTTCAGTGTCTCTAGTATACAATTACACACACACAGATCTTCCAGTGATTTTCCGCATCCATTGGCCAATAAAGTGTCATTCTGTTTTCAGCTTTTCGTGCATTTTACATTATTGTAAAATTACAAAATTATTATTATTATTGTTCTTTTAATGAGGTAATGAGGTTCTTTTAATAAGAGCTATCAAATTCTTCAAACTGAGACGTTCATTTACCTTAAGAATAATTGATCTGCTGATTTATAGATGTTTCTTGCTATGTAAGACGAGGGGGGTCTTTTTAGGCCTGATGACATCACGTAGATGCAGAGAACGAGGAGAGAACGAGGAAGATGCAATTGTTCGGTTGGGCCACTATGTCAAATTGGCTTCAAATTTGGAGCTTTCTGGGTCGTGCTAGGGTAAACTCTTTTTTAAGCCACATTTTCATTTTCAAACTTCTAGTCTTTAACAATGTATCAATTTTATCCAGATACCTTGAATGTGACTGTTTTCGTGTCATCATGTGGTATATGTCTCGTCTGAGAGGGGTGTAGTGCATGGATGTATAATAATAATGGATGTGCTGCCGGAACGCACCGAAACGCCGCTCCGGCACTTCAAAATAAATTGCAGTACGCATAAGGAACATGCCGCAGTTTTTGCGTGGCTGTGTCTTTAGTTGTAAACCCAGTGTTCATCTGTCATACTGATCATACAATAACGCCATCGAAAAGAATATGCTACATACTAGTACTTCTGGGTCTTTGTGTGTCATTCAAGCTCGACTGTGTGTGTGTGTGTGTGTGTGTGTGTGTGTGTGTGTGTGTGTGTGTGTGTGTGTGTGTGTGTGTGTGTGTGTGTGTGTGTGTTGTTGTGGATATTTTAAACTTGTCAATACTGTAAAGATGTACAATGAGNTTCCACAGATGAAATGTTGTTATGGATTTATTGTCAAAGCACTTCAGATAACTTTTGGTTATATTCCATGGAATGCTCTTAACATCCCGATAGCAATGAATATCTGAAGTGCTTTGACAATAAATCCATAACAACATTTCATCTGTGGAAGCCGTAGTACTGTAAAAAGCACGACCAATCATTTTTAGCCGGCCCGGCTAAAATAACTGGATGGCCTACCTGCCTGTCAGCATTCCATCTGTGTATCTCGTGCCCTCATTGGTCATGTGCGCGTTCATGTGTGTTGGAGGAGGGGCTCTCTAAGGAAGTGGCAGATTTGTTCCGACTATGTATTTTCAAGTTCTAGCGCACTCAAGCTGGTTTCTCCAAAATGACCTACCCCACCTTTAATGTCACTGCAGCTAGTTTTAATGTGTAAGAACTTCTGCTCTCTTATTTGAATAAGCTCTAAAACCAATGCATGTGCACGCCGGTCATGTGTCTTTATACTTATCTGTGTCCATACTTGAGCCAGTGCATAATTACAATGACAATTGCAATCGGATTTGTTAACCTACTACATCAATGATTCATTCTAATCAAATGTTATCATTATGGTGAGAAGCGTGGAGTCGCCTCAGGCATCATCAGGCATTTAATCTCCCACGTACCACCACTCGGCTTTCCATCAGTACTCTTAAAATGAAGATGTGTAATCCTAATCAAATGAATGTTCCTTCTTTCTTGTAAAAATTATATTTTGAGAGCATTTTAAGTGTAAAACTAGCATAGTGAATATCTGTCTCTGACGGTGTCTGTGCAAACAGATCAGTATTTTTATTCACTTTTAATGACATGCAATTTCTTTCTAAATGCACTGTATGAAGCTTAATTAGGCTTGAAACCCCACAAGGATTTGGTTTTACTTATGCAATGGGACATTTATTTTGTACATAAACAATTTGGGCACTAATGGGTGTTGAAAAGTGTCTTATTTACCTTTATAATAAGTCATATTTGTCCTGCATGTGTGCTTGTGTCACTTCAAATATCCTCAAACATTAAGTTACTGTTGTCACTTTAAAAGTCAGCAATTGATCATCATATTAAATTACATTTATAGAGATTAATCAGATTCAAATTCAGACTTTTATAACTTTTAGATGAGCTCATATCTCTTTCAGAGTATCTCCTTTGTATGCAAATGGTGACCGGGGAGCATTTATAGATTGTATCTCCTGCTCTGACATGATTTATTATAATTCCATCACTTTTATTATCTGGAAAGCTACCAGGAAAATGTTCAAGCAATTTAAGATCTAAATCATAATTTCAGGACCATTGCTCCAGTGTGCAGGATCTCAGTGCCCTTGGCTTGATTTAAAACCATCTGCGATCCAAATATTTATTTGTTTTCTTCACACAAGTTGGTTAAATCACAGGTTACGTTTAATCAGCTATAATGATCGTAGCAGCAGACACAAATACTATATAATCAGCCATTTGTTTGTTTGTTTGTTTGCTGTGCGTAAGTTAATTGATAGTGGTTAATCACACATTGAATAGCATAAATTAAGCATGAAAACAATGGAAGAACCGTTCATCAAAACACGTTCTTTCACATGTACAAAAGTGATTAAAGGGAACTTAAAATGAAAATGGAGGATTCAAAGAAAATCCATTTTAATTGACACACGTACACAGGACCGCATACACAATGAAATGTAGTCTTTGTATTTGACCCATCCAATGTGACATGTATTTTACTTAAGAATTGTAATCAGCCACCAGTTTACTGTTATTTTAGAATTTCTTTTGGGTGTTTTTGGCACAATTGTATATATTTTCTTTTTGTAGAAAAAGGATAACACTTAATTATTTGTTTAAAGAACATTTATTGACACATGTGCGATATGATCGAATGTTAATTGTTTTTGGCGATTATCCAATCCTGATATCCTATATCTTAAGGGGGACTATCACATCTATCTTTTTAGGTTTATTTTTATGTCTTTCTTGACAGACTCGGTAGGACAGATATTCAACAAGAACAGAAATAACGTTTTAGGGAAACAAAACAAATATATTGTCGCCTAACTGCTTCCTGATCCACCTGGTTTTATGAACATCAACATCCAGTTCTCTCATGGTGAGAGCGCTTCTTTAGGGTGCGCAACATGGCATCTACGTAATGGGTATTTAACTGGGGTGATGTGACTGACAACCTCTTTCATCCCTCCCTTCATATCAGCCACCACATGGTAACAGCAGGGTGTAAATCCATACAGCGTGCTTGTCAGGCAGGCTTCAAACTAAAGCTTTAATGCAAAACTGACACTTTATGTAGAAAACAACAACAACATTCTACATTCCCCAAACTTCATCTGTTTCTCAACTTTGCTAGTAGCAGAATAACAAATGTCACATATGGGATGGTGTTAGTGTGGTGTCACTGTTTGCGACATTTCTCACCGACTCTCTGCCAGACACAGTGATATTTAGCCTGTTCTCCCACCACAGACGGCAGAGTCCATTTCACAACAATTTAAAATGTGTTTGACAACATGGCCAAAATAATGTTCTGGAAGGCTGTAAATGTGTTAATAAGCAGAATGTTTTGACATGTCTTTTTCTCTTTCCCTCCAGGAGTTGCAGTTTGAACGTCTGACCAGGGAGCTGGAAGCAGAGCGGCAGATCGTTGCCAGTCAGCTGGAGAGATGCAAGCTTGGCTCTGAGACCGGAAGCATGACTAGTATCAGGTGTGTTTGCGTGTTTGTCTCACACCTGTCAGATCCTCTTCTGAACACTCTCCCTGTGTGTGTCAGTTTTGCTCTTGCAGGTGAATGGCTTCAGAGCTGGTCACATTAGAGGTTCACTCTTGATTTGTGTCCAAAAGTCATCTAGATCAGGGGTCTCAAACTCAAAGCCCGGGGGCCAAATCCGGCCCGCAACTTCATTTTATGTGGCTTGCAAAGAATATGATGTGTTTTTTGTACGGTTACATGCCACTTTACAGAAGCATGATGCCCATAAACTACATGTCCCACAATGCATCTCGTTTTGTGACATGCGCACTGAAGAGACTTACATTACAATTATTTGCCCTGGGCTTCTGCTTTCAGACGTAGTTAATTACTAAGTTATTACCCTATCCTATAATAATCCAATTCAGAGGCAATAATGGAATATAATACATTATTTTATATATATTATATAGTTACAACCGGCCCTTTGAGTGCAACCTTTATGTGAATGTGGCCCGCGATGAAATTTAGTTTGACACCCCTGATCTAGATGATTGAATCCACATGTCAAAACACACCATTTTGTTTGAGGCGAGAGAGAGAGACTGAGATCCTCCTGCATTCCTGTGGTGCACAAGATTGTGTTCCTTACCACCTTACCCACACACCTACTACAGTTAATGCAACGTGTATCTATATTGTTATTTTCTTATAATTCACACAATCACCGTATATCAAATGGGAAGAAATACATACATCTGGTAGCTATATATCTTTCTTTGCCTGAATATTCAAATAAGATATGTATATCTTTTGTTTTTTTAATAAGTAACCACAGTTTCTTTTAAACAAAGATCTGGACATCACATCACATTGAGTTCCAGTACAACAGGACATCAAACTAAATGATGGATTAGCAAAGTTTGCCATTGTTAAAGTGACAGTTAATTACAACTCTGCATGGTATTTTGCGCTTACAAAACCCTGAAAAACATGTACTGCGTGTGCAACTGATTTAATTAGACAAGCAAGGCACATGAATTACAAATTAATACAATTAACATACTGTAAACAGCAAAAACTTGTAAACAGCAAAATAATAATAAACAAAACAGTACATATGTACATATCAACAGTGACAGATGTATATCTAGAGTATCTCTATTGAATTTACAATATGTACGGATTAACAAATAGAAGTCAGTGTACTTTGATAGGCCAGCCCTAATGATATGATTGGTGTAGCTATTATCTATGCAAGCTAGTTGACTACATTTGTAACCACACAACATAAAATATGGTTGTACGTTTTTTAAAGACAGTGACCTCCAGAGTAGCTTTATAAATGAACAAAGAAGAACAGTTTTTACTTATTAAGTTTTTATGCAACTAAATTCCATTAATTATATTCACTTCAGCTGACCTCATTTTAAAAACAAGTAGGCTATTAGCTGTTATCAGTTCTCACTAGTGTTATTCGTTTTCTTGTCCTCATTATGAAATTGCAGAATGACAACGGGAAGGTGAATGGGACATGAGGCAATTAGGCTGTAATCACTTTAAAATAAGTGTGAAAACTAAAGCGCAAGAATGATAACTTAAAACCTCTTATAAACCTGGTTGTATGTGTCTTCTTTGCTTCAAGAAAGGATACAGATCTGTCAAAAACTCAGGTGGAGGTTTACTGACAAGATGAAGATGCAATCTTAAAGCCCTTTCCTTCACATTGAGTACACACACCGCAGCACCTTTAAGCTCGGAGACGCACCAGGAATGAATCAATATCACTTTGCAGCAGGAGGCTTTGAACTTGAAAGAAATCTGACTTTGATTCCTACACAGTTAATCTGGATTTGATGATCATGTAACCAAATCCTTTCGCATAAACTGCATATCATTCTTCACTATGTTTTCTTTTATTATTATGACACATGAGTGTTATAGCCAAAACTCTATACATTTATAGGTTTTAGTTTTTTGCTTGTAGAATTGGCCCGACACAGACCATGTGACACACTAACATAGAAACCTAATCTCTTTAAACCTCTCTAATTTCCTAATTTGTCAGGTTTAATCAGGTGTGACAACATCACCCAGAATACATTTGTTTGCAGAACTAGAGAGCAGAATGTCATATTCGGTGCCAAAATCATGCCACCCCTGTCAGTGTAACAAGGTGGATCAAAGCGACTGCTTTTGGTAGTTCAAATTGATTATTGGCTCAGGTCTAATGGCACAAAGCAAATCCCCAGCTTTGCAAACATGACATGCTATTAATTGTCTATTAAAAACAGCGATTGCTTTTTACGAAGAACCAAACAATGTGCAGCTGCCGCAGGAGTCCATTGTTCTGCTCAGGGCCTTCCGTTTTTTTTTGTGACCGTCATATTATCTTCTGCTGATTGAGTTTGGACCCTGGTGTCGTCTCTGCTCTGATCTCACAGAACACATTCCATACCAGCCCAATGTGAAAACAGCACTCCTGACACAATAGTGGTAACACACTGAGCCTGCCTCTCAGGACATAGTAAAATGATTAAAGCATCTGGCTCTCTCTCTCTCTCACACACACACACACACACACACACACACACACACACACACACACACAAACAATCCATCATATGTTCTCCTCTTTGATTCCATTAAGCGAGCGGGGATTCCGTCCGTCTCAAACTAATTACTAGTCTGCCGGCATTGTAATTCTCGTTTCAATTTGAGGGGTGGACCAACAATGAGCAGCAAAGAAGTTCTAAAACCGATTCATTCACGTGTCTAATTAACTGGCCATGCATTTAGCTGCTCAACGCTGTCACAGGGCTGCATTGAGAGCCTCCATTTAAAACAGATCCAACTTGGGAGATGGAAGAGGTGTGGAAGCCAAACAAAAAAACCTTTTTCCACTTCAACACCCAGCTGCACACAGATGGAATAAAGACTTCCATCTTCTCACTCACTTGATTAAATGGGTTTATTATTTAGTGAGAAGCAGAATGTCTTGTGATTTCCAGTCTTCCCTTGCTTTTTATAGGCAGTCCACTTTGTTTAGCTTGGATGTAATTGCCAAAAGGATGAATGATTTGGAAAAACACACAATTACAACAAGGCTAATCAAAAAGTATGTAACCCGTGTAGGATTCATTCTTCAATTACCTCCTTAGTATTGTTGCTGTTTTAAATAGTGTATTCGCTGCGTGTCCTTGCAAACATAAGGGACAACATTTAATATGCAGCGACAAAACATGTACAGGAAATGGATCGTGTTGAAGGACCATTATTACATTGTACAAATGATGTGCAATGTTTAAAATGGGTAACAACATCTGTGAAAGGGACACAATAGTTAATATATAATATTAACAAAACTGCTCTAGAGCCTAAGATGAATTATTACAATATCTCTGTCCAAGTGACATTGGCCTCTTTCCTGACTGTAGGATTAAATACACATGCTGGCCAGTAAATAGTAAATTGCAGGGGAAAGAAGACATTGCTCCACTTAAAGAAGGGGTGGCCTGGTTGAAGTGACTCATTAGAACACCCCTATGGTTTTGGAGAATGGCACAGTCCAACCATCCAGGCCCATCTACTTTGCCAGGTGTGGTTCAGGAGTTCAGCCTATTGCCACGAGGAAAGTGAGCAACAAGACAACTACAGGAACAGGGTTAGCTCTTTTTATTTAAAATAATAATAAATTAAGCAGGATTGCTTGTACTTGAACTAGCAAAGAACGTAGAAAATGAATAGCTTTTTTTAAATATCTTTTTATTTCCTCCGTTTCATTTAGCTATTAGCAAACGTCTTTTAGCATGGCCCAGATGCATTTTTGCCGGTGTAGTCTTTTGTTTTCCTCTTTAGCAACAAGTTATGTGATATCTTTTTGTGAGTTGCCTGGCTTACCATGTTCTAACTCCAAGTCTTGTTGCCGTTTAGGTGCAGGTTTCAGGTCTTTTTCTCACCATTAGCAAAAGTGATGTATTGGTGTCATCCAGGTTAGCATTACTTGCTGCTAGCTACCAATTCTCACTCATTCAATGCTTCTGTGTCACATTGACTTTATTTAGCTGACAGTTGTCCAGCAAGGCAATGGTTCCAGAAAAATATAGTTCTCTAAAAAGTGATCTAATTGTTTTGCAACAACTTAATTTTAAAATGCTCCAAGGGTCTCGATACTGTTAACCAACACAATATTGCACCAGCATCCTGTATTGTTTATATGGAAACAGTGTTTTCCCATTGAATTCTTAACACGAATTCAATGAACACCTTTCTTTCTGAGCTGAAACTAGTTTATATTTAAGCCTATCGTGTTTTTTTCTTTTAAGCTCATAATCCAAATGGTTAAGAATGATAGACTTAATCTAATTCACTTATCCCTCTATAAAGTCTATTAAACCGTCCATTCAATGTTTCATTTGGAGGATCACTACCTGGAATCCCGGAAGCATGTATTGTTGTTTCTTTGAAAAACTCCCTCACAGACAGTCTTATTGGCTTTCCCAAAGGAGCAGCTCTAGTTTCTACTCCCAAAGTAGTCTCACATAGCCAGACCATCCTGCAAGGTGCTGTGTCAGCAGCACAGGAGAAAGGTCTGGCTACACTCATTATCGTTCTGCCACAGGGGAAAAGAACATTCCTTCTTGTTTGTATTTCTTTAAGCCAGTCAAAGTAAGCACAGGATGTATCAACAGAGCCCTGCAAAACACATAGCATAACAAATATTCTGTCCATAGCAGCCATATACCCACATTTTACACCCAATGATACCTCGTTCACACCAACGCAACTCCGGTTCAAGCTCCGTGCTAAAGCTTTTCAGGTTCAGAATCGGTTCTTCGGTTTAGCTCCGGCTCTTTTCACACCGTCCAGAGTCCGACTCATTGCGTCACCGTTTGCGTCATGACGTTACCGTTTGCGTGCCTGCTTCATAAAGCCAAACCGCGCGGAAACCCCTCACAGCTCACACCGACTACAACAACAATGGCCGATTGTGCTCCAGCTTCCTCTGTACCTCT